ATACGTCACCAACAACCACCAGCGGCCTGGGCTTTCGCACGCCTCCCGCGGAGCGGAAGGGCCAGGCCTGCGCGAGGCATGTACCGCCGGGCTCTCCATCCCATTGCAGCGTGTTGCCTCACAGCTGCAGCGTTCACACAATGAGTATTAACCACAACCCACTTCTGTACCTCTGCACACCCACCTACAAACGCACCCAGCAACGCTGCTGTTGGGATTTGGTTTTAGCCACAAGCTTTTGCAGCTTCAGAGTGCTTTTCGGATCTTGCACGAGGTCCAGGCTAGCGACGCTTCAGGCCCCTGCAAGTTTTCTCTCTCCTCCCTGCTGCTCAGGAGGCTATCACCTCTCTTCCAGCAACGTGGGCCTTGCCCGCACTGGCAATTGGCCCTCCTTCCAGCTGCAAATTTAGCCATGCCTCGTGCTGACAAGTAGGCTGAGGTTTGCTCTGGTAAAGCCTGACAAGGTTTTGATGCAAACAACCAACCAAAAAAAATCCACCATTTAGAAAACTGACAGTCAAAGCAATCGGCAACACCCGCACGTGGCGCACACAGAAATCTTCCTAACTTTGCCGCAGTGACATGGGTATCCGGGAAAAGGATAAATTCCCAGCGCAGACAGGGCACTTGGCTGAACGCAGGTGCTCAGCTTTTAGAGCAGCTGGGGCTGCCTGGCCGAGTCGTCTAACCCGCAGGAGCCCTCTGCGTGGGCCGCAGGCCAGCCTCATGGCTCTGCAGCAGTAACAGCCACCCCCAGGTACCTTCCCCAGCGCCTGCTGGGCTTCCCCGGGAGGCACTTCCCTCCTCAGGGAGGACGGCGGCTCAGCCCCGAGTACCTGTTCCCCAGGAGAGGCTGCAGAGATGGTTGTGGTGGCAATAGCCTGCTTCCAGCCGGGCTCCCTCCCAGGTAAGGACGGAGGAGAGAGCTGTGCAAGTACTCAGTAGCACCCACCCAGTAAGATCAGTTTTCCCGAGAAAGCTAGGGACTCCTGCACAAGCAAACTGACCTTAATTGAGCACAAGCTCAAGCAACCGTCAGACAGTCCTCTCCTCTCCCCTTCTGCCCCCCCACCACATGGACACCACTAAGAAAAGTTAGTTATAACCACTTTTCTACTTGGCATTTTTGCCATAGATCAAGCAAATCCTGGATCTTACCAAACATTGTCTTAAAGATTTAAAATTGTGTGTGTGTGTGTGTGTGTGTGTGTGTGTGTGTGTGTGTATAACTCCATATGATGGCAGTGTTTTTCCCTTCCTCTTCCTCTCTTCCCACCCCCTTTCCCCTCTCTCAATTTCTCAAACAATAAGTGGGAAACACACTTTTTTTTTTCCCAGCCAAAAATTAATTCCTGCTCAAACCTTCCAAAAAGGGTCAAGTATAAAGGAAGCATCTGGTAAATCTGCTTTTGTATTGCAACGGGATGCCATAGCCCTCCTGTCACCCTCCCTTTGCACCACTCAGCGCAGCGTGCACTCGTGCCACACTGGAAAAGGTTTACTCTGCTGCACACATACGCACGGACACACATGCTGCGTGACTGTTGTCAGCCCTTAGATGGAAGTCACTAGGGTATACTGTGTGCGCAGGCAGAGAGGGTCACACTCACACCAGCAGTTTTTCAAGTTGCTTTTTTTTATCCCCCAACTACAGATGGACTCTTCAGCTACTCAGTCGAGTGGTTTGCTTATGAGTTATATGATAAGGGTGTGTGTTTGCAGGAGTCAAAGTCACAATTTGCGATCCTATCATGTAACATACTGAACTGACAAAAAAAAATTGGCTTCTTTCAACATCTCTAAATGCCCATCCAGGGAAATGCAGCGAATGAAAGGAGATTGGGCCTCATCCTGAAGCACGCCCGCAAGTGACTTCAATCACGCAGTTCGATCTGTGCACGTGTTCAAAATCAGGCAGACAGACACTTTGCAGAGTAAAGGCAGGAGTTATCATGACTTTAAAACAACTGGTAAAGCAGTCAACAAAAACCTTTGTTAACACCCATCTTACTTTCCTCTTCACACCTACAGAAAAATTTTTAAAGCTTTAAAAATCGTGTACTCATATATAGAAAAAGTGAGAGGCTGAGTACACATTACACAGCAAAAGCATACTGGAGAAAATGTATTTCTGGTCAGAGTGAACAACAGCATCTTCAATATTGGGGGTGCAGTGGGGGAAGAAGCATCTTTTTTTATAACTCATTCCATAATGACTGGGCCATTAGCATCAGCAGCTGCGGCAGCTGGCAGCTCCTGAGCCAGCCTCATCTCTTCTGGCAAAGACACCGGGAGAGGAAGGCGTAGCTATCCACCAACCTTGTGACAGGACTCGAGCGGGAAGTATCTCAAGATTCAAATTCCTAGCATCAGTATCATCCCCCGGAACTTGGGGCCCTATATGCTATACAAACAGGTCTGCTCAAAAATCACGCCAAAGCAGAAGAAAGATTAAAAACCAGACAAAACCAGAAATCTATAAGAGCTTTAAGGTGCTGAGATCTCACAAAAGTTGCTCAGCACATTCCAAGATTGCCCCACTAAAGAAATGGACTCGTATTGTCCACCTTGCTTTTAAGCTGCAGAAAAAAACAACTCTGCATTGTGTGAAAGCTGTATGTATATAGGTCTTGAAATATACTGGAAAATGCTTTTTATTTTGCAAAAATCTTCTTACTTTCATTTTACTTATTTATCTGTCCTTTACTCTTTTTCAGCAAGTATCCTTTGCTCTCAAGAAATCACATACTTGAGAGCATGTCCCTCTGCACATGGAACTTCCTATGATTGTTACTTAATGAAACTGTATTATCTACAGAATAAATGTCTCGTAAACATCTGCATTATCCCGGAGAAAGAGTAGGTCCAGTCCTCTGGTTTGTTAAGGATACTTGATGAGTTAGCTTCAACTAACCAGTGGAATATCACCCTAAAGAATCCCCCCCTGGCTTGGCTGTAGCTCTCAGTTTGAAGCATGAAATCAGAAATAGAAATGGGCACCTGCTGTGCCTGCCTTCCAGCACCACCTTCCGATCGAAAGGACTTGCTGGACCTTTTCCTTGAGTTTTGCTTTCCTTACCCAAAACCAAAACAACAACAAAAACCCAGTGAGAACCAGTTTTAGAACAAATACATATATGGGCCACAGTTTTTGAGGGCAGAGAGAGAGAGGAGGCGACCATAACGGAAGTTTAAATCGGCTTCTCTTCTCTCACCAACTTTTCAATTCAGAAGCAGCAGGGAAACTGTTCCAGAGATGTCGCATTCTTGATGGGCCATGTTTCCATCAGCATGAGAGGGTAAGTTTGCCTCACATTTTCAGAGCTTCATCGAAATCAATGAAAAGACTCCTTTGATAATGGTGCCCTTTGGATCTGTCCCTAATGGATCATTACACATGCAGCATTTAAAGACAGAGGCCATGACCCTGCCAAACAAATGAGGGCCTAAGCATTTCTACTTGTTCAAGAGCAAAATACAGTATTATATTACTGTGCACAGTTAGATGTTATATATATTTGAAGAGAAAGAAGTATTTCAACTCTGTACTCTCTATTAATTCTGTTGACATTCTCCATATCTTCCAGTTACAGTATCAGGACAATACAAGATCCCCAGCAGCTGAAAAAAAACACCACTCTTCAATTTCTTCCATCATTTTTCTAAAAATGAAAGTGTTTGCTTTACAAACTAAAATTGGTATGTACCAAGGTTTTAATTTTATGTCTGCTTCTGTTGTTTAAGCACCATTTCACACCAGCCATCACTAAAAATCACATAAACCGATATCCAACCTAACTTTGCTAATGAAATGCAAAAGTTAATCAAGGTACAGAGTAAAGAGAGCACTGGCCCTAATTCTGCAATGATAGCTGTGTTGGATAGTCATGCGAGAGATGCGTTGCTATTCCCCTGTACGCACATGAAACACTGTGTGCAAGAATAACTGACACTAAGAGCCTTGTGCTAAAATGGAACGTCCCCCGGGTCATTCTGGTGCAGACCAATTACGGCTAGTAAACTTTAGTGCGGTCAGCTCCTTCCCCCCCTGCCAGTGCTTTTGTATAATGTGTGTTATCCTACCTGTTTTAACATCACAACTGTATGTTTTAATTCAGGTATTCTCTATAGCAGGTATGGGCCTCACCAAGAGACTGCAGGAGCCAAAAGCGATGTCCCTGGGCAGCCTGCTGGACCAAGCCTCGGGGTGCTCCACGCCTTGCAGATGGAAACCTCAGGTAAACAGCATCCGCTCAGGCCCAGCTTTGGAGGGGGCCAAGTAGAGCTTGAACAAGCAGAGGCAGCTTTGGCATTTTGGGGTTGGCCTGAGAAAACTTGTCTTTCCCCTTTCACCTCCATGCCAAATGTAACCAAGAAAGAATGAAAGTCAAGATGGTCCTGCGTGAGAACCGGTGGCCAACTTTGGAGACAACTGGCTTTTGCAAGTCTGTGTGAGCTTTCTGCACCTCATTAGTAATCAGATGGCAATGCAGATAAAGAAAGGTGAAAAGGCTATTAGAAACCATAAATATTTTACTATAAAAAACATTTGCAGTGGCTTTTGAAAAGTGCATACTTATCGATGAAGAAATGCTTTAAACAAGTTACTGCGGTGCAAAACACAACACCTCATGCTCTGCGTTTGCTCTGTGCTGTATTGAGGCATGCCTTTCAATTAAAAGCTCAGCAAATTTAGCCTATTATATCGTTCTTTGCATATTTATAGTACTGTATGAAACATTATTAATAGCTTACACCACTGTCTTTCCTTATCAGTAGGAGGTAGGTCTGACCAGTGAAGCATAATTGGTAATCTATTTTATATACAAATAAAATATCCTCTGGAATGTTTTGCTATAACATTCAGTTCTTGTTTGCTATTCGTTAAATGTATTGTTTAAAATGCTACCACCAGCTAGTCATTCTTTTTCTTAGCAGCGATACCATGACAACCACCACGTGACCTGCTACAAACATACCACAAGTCTCTAGGGCTTTCTTTAAGAAGGCTCAGACCGATATTACTCATGCTTTAAAAGCCCAAATTCAGAGACGCTTTACTTTGTGTAAGATGCATCGAGCTTACCAGCCAATTTTACCATGTGGCAACAAGTATCTTCAGCTAAAATGGGACAAAGCAAAGTATGAAGAACACAAGAAAAGGGTAGGTACAACTGTTTGATAAAGAGCAGAGAGGCAGGCCTTCATGAAAGGCTAAGCTTACCCACAAGGTTAAGTAATTCTCTATTCATTCTTAATACTGTTACGAGAGTTAATTGCAAGAGGTGCATTTTAAGAATAGCCTGCAAATATAGGTACTATCTTTTGTGACCTTTCATTTACAATTATCATAACAATGTTCACAGAATTTAGAAGTGAAGAAGACTGTCAGTCATCTGTTCCAAATCAGTAATAATGCAGGATTGCTCCCTTATGAAAATTCGTAAGTAGCAAGTACCATCAATGATGATTCAACTGTATTGCTATCTTAGGAAGACTGTATCACAATATAATTAGCTTTAATACAAAGAAATAGTTCTTCATTATTTCCAGACCGGGTCTGTTTCATTAACCATATAAAAATATCTTCCTTCCTTCCTTCCATTGTTCTCATAATTTGACTTGCAGGTGGAAAAAAAGTTAAACATGAAGTAGAGAATTGAATGTGACATATTTTTCTAATCAAATTGACAATGTTTAAACAAATAAATAAATTTCCTTCTATGTGAATTAACCTCTTGAGAGGCTTGCTGTTGCATATGAGCATTGCTATTTAAACAGTGGCTCTTTTAAAGCAGGGAACTGATATTAATGTAGTTGAAATACTCTATACATCCATTGTGCATACAGAACTCCACTTTGTTCAGTGTGCAGAGCATTTCACATATATGTTTGTATACACACACACACACACACACACAAAGGCATTCAGAGGCCAAGAGTAGGACTAATTAGCGATCAGAATGATATATAGTGAAGAAATTTATTTATAGAGAATAAAACATTTCCCAAGACTATTGCCTCATGATTAAACATGAGCGATAATTTCTGAGCTCAAGAAAAAAAAAGAAAAAGTAACTGCAGTGTTTGGAA